CATCGTCTCTGCACGATGTTCACTCGAGACGTGGTGTTCTCGGTACGGTTATCACAAGCGATTTTTCATGTGCTTGTACTTGCGACTGATCATAGTGCGACGCGCTTATTTGCCGTTTTCCAGCTGTGCACGGATTCGGATGCATACTTCATCTTTGACTACCTACAATAGCTGAGGCTATTAACCGATAGGATGCATCAAGTGAGAATGCTGATAGTGTCGTGCCGTTACTTTCACATCAGCAGCTGAACGCCAGCTTCGACTTCAGCAGCAACTGAGGCTGAAATAGCGCAGGCGTGTGACTCGGAAGATGGTCCTAAAGCAGCTGATAATAGGAACGACACGCCGCTTCCAATTCTTGGGTAACAGAATGTCGTATTCTTGCTGACGATATACAAATCGTCCCAAGAAAAAAGCGATGTTGCCGCATCGGTGCACGTGAAGCGTAACATTCCGCCTCGCATCGCGGACCTCGACATTAGCGCTTCGTGCTGGCATCTTCACCTTCGTGTTGATGGGATCAACAAATGCTCATGCTGAACATGGTAGCAATCTATTGCTTATCTAGCGAGCACGTGCTGTGTAAAGTTGAATGTTTGCCTTGTCGTGTAGGGCATGTTTTTCGCTCAACATACACAACCGTGATCGCTATATCATCAACGACATGGAAGCTAGAAGATTCAAATGGCAACATGAGTAACATACTACATGGGACTGAAGCTCATTCGTGCAGTGATCAAGCAAAATGTAGCGTGCACAAGGTTACCGTCCAAAGGGCTCGCATTGACGGGAAAGCGATATTCATATATGGATGATTTACATATGAGTCACCACAGTGGTCCAACGACGCTGGCAATCGAAAGTTCTCCATGTAGTCAAGTGAGCAGCACTATGGCTCATTTTGAGATACAATCAAACGGGAGGTGAACCAACGTGGAGCTATCATGGACGACAACTTAAGCTGCATCCTATGCAGCTCATAGCTCTGACTACAAGATGTCACGTAAAAGGAGGTATGACTTGGTTTATAGCTCTGGACTTCCTGCAGCGTTCAATAACATGTTGACGCAGTGTATTTGTGCTTGTCATGCAGCCTTCTCAGGTAGCACTTTTTGAGTTTATTGGATGTGACTTGATTCAAACTGACAGCAAGTTGGATGTGATCTTCCAGCGCCTCAAAATTTCCTCTTGAGCATGAAACGAGACGGCTTTTAATCATCATGTTCAGGTGAAGTCAAGTGTAAATGTCAACTTGATGGGAACAGCGGTTCTGACGCTAAGCTTATGTCACTAGCTTCCGTGACTCAAAACAAGTGTGTGGGTTTTGTACGATGGTAAAGTTTACAACTTGGCTCTTGTTGGAGAATCCCAGACAACAGTAAAAATGGACAAACGACAAGTGGCAGGACGCCGTAACCAGGATGTTGGACCGCTAGACTTCAACCTCCTGTATGCGACGCGTAGCTGGCAGCTATCTGTGTACTGCGAAGGCGTTTGAGTATAAGAACCAGTCCTTGAAGCAGCTTAACGCCTCCGACAAGCGCTGTTACATGCCGATAAATCAGGTCTATCAGATGCAAGCTTGCAGAATCGTGTTCAACGCTGGCTCAAAATTGTCAGAATCAAGCTTGAAACTGCCAGTCACTGGTGATCCCAGTGAATTTTGAAGATTGCGCATGTCCAGAAGAACGTTATGAAGAAGTGTATGAACCGTTGCATGGACATGCACGTGAGTGTAATGCCCAATATCAGCTCGCGTATTGAGAGGGTGCTGGTTCAGGTCAAGAAGATGCGGCAATAATGAACAGTGCAGCAATATAAAGACGCGCAAATGGATCAATCGGTGTTAATGTCTTCTTGTTACTTGCATAAGAGCTATAAAAATTCCGGAAACGAGACAAGACTCTTCGTCCTTGCTTGTTCAATTCATTCATTCTGCTTTCATAGCTTACAGGGATGAGTGATATCATTGTGTATGACTGTATCTGTTATCACCTGTGTCACCACCATTGCAGTGGTTACTTTGTTTATATAGCCTCCAGCTTACGCTGATCTTTGCGCCGACGTAGTATCCAACCGTAACACCACAAGCCACAGATCGGACCCCTGGCACTACCGATACAAGTCTGGAGTCACATACAATAGTGATTCATTCCCAGGACAGCCTTCTGACACAACGTGCAGTACCATGTTGTTTCCCACCTTGGTCCATGAAGTCTTTCACACCAGCGAAAAGTGCCACAGCGCGTATATGAGTCAAACAACTTCCTTGGTATTGAACTTTTGAATACAAGAAAGAGTACGATGCAACAGTGCGTCAGCCACTTGTCGTACGTTCAATTATGAATAGTAAGAGACAAATATCCTCAAAGCCGATGTAAAGTGCCAACACTATAGTAATATATGACGATCCTTTGAATGCTGGTAGCAAAACATGATGACTCCACAAGGCCGATCAGCGACGGAGTTGGTTGTGTCTCTGGCACGAAAATTGCATACCTTTCGTTTCAGGAATGGACCGCTAACGCATGTCATGAAGGTCCCATCAAAGCCGATCACTTCTCTTGCCAGCACTGAGAGTCATCGCGTCTCAAGGTTAAGACTCTTGCTTATTAACAAATATTCTAAGCTTAACCTAGTACTTGATCTTGTTCCACAAATCTCCAGCTTCACTATGAATTCGGACAACCAAAGCTATGCTGGTAGTCGAGTAATATCCCTTCGAGGTGTTGAGCGGATGGTCTCTGCAATTAACGGAGTATCAACTAAGATCGCACACTCGATGCTCGTTAGCGGGAATACAATGACGTTGCTCCAATTCCTGCCCACTGCAGTCGTCAATGCATTTAACACTCATCCTCGAATGCGAGCGCTTCAAATTCAAGACCAACTATTTGCGGCGGAGATCCAGCCTCCAATAACCCCGGACAACCTCACCAACTTGCTTCGAGTGAGGATGCTGTCACCAGCAGACTATGGAGACGGCACCCCAACGAGCTGGCAAGTTTTTGTGGAGAAGGAGTGTAGTGTTGGCTTCGACCGCCATAGTCAGTTCCCGTTCTATCTGTCGGTGTGGGTGGCTAAACGCAAGGACACCGCTCGCCTCACTCTCTTCTCGGACCAGTACATGTCCGACGGATTCTCGGGTGTCGTCGTTCTCAACTTCATCCTGGAGCAGGTATCAAAACTTGCTAGGCAAGTTGTTGCGCAGCATCAAACGTCAAACATGTCGGCTGTCCAGGAGTATCCACTACGTCCGTCACTCTATCGGATGTGGCTCAAGAAGATTACATGGATCAAGCCTCTGCTTAGGGGTACTAACGCCATATTAGGTCGACGCATGTTTCGCGGAAACGTGCGCAAGTTCGCATCACTGTTGCCGGCTCGAAAGGACCAGGAAGATTTTGCAGTGCCTCCAGTGACAAACAGTACTAGTGCCTTGTTTGCCGACGGGGATGGTAAATGCATGCGAAGAGCTTTGGTTCGATGCAAACAGGAGAGTGGAACTCTGGATGGTGTCGTAGTTGTCGTCATGCTACTCGCGTTCTATCGCGTACGTAATGGCAAGGAACAAGGCGGGCGCTGCAACCCTTTTCGAATCATGCTGGATGTCGACTGCAACATGCGTCAACTCGTGCAGCAGCCTGCAGAAGAAGACCAAGTTGGACTATTTACAGCCACTACTACCCTCGACTGGCTTACTTTAGAAGGTGTTGATATGCTAACCACGCGATTCTGGGACTTGGCAAGTCGTGCAACGCAGGAGATCAATGCTAAACTTAAAAACACAATGGCAATGGCGCAATCCACCATCACAGCTGACCAGAATCTCAACGCTCAGATGAATGCGTCTTTTCTCAGGAACATACGTGTTGCTCATTCTATCACGTCCGATGTCAAAGTTGCTGAAGTGATCATATACCCGTTTGAGAAGCACCACTCGCTCACAGCTTCGTCTGACACAGATATACGACGCAGTCTGTTCTTGGCAAATGAAGCCCATCAATCGGTGATGTCACCGAATGGAGCAGGAAGTTTGACGAAATCGCGGCGGCTAGATAGCGCAAAATCGATTCCAAACAATGTGATCTCTATCGAGAGTTTGCACGTGTACAAGGCCCTGCCTCATCTCGCTCCGTCTGTTACAATTTTTCTGTCATCGGTAAACGCATTTGCCTATTCCATGGCGCACAAGATTGAATCTGATGTGGCGAACGACTTATTCACGGCGTTCGTGTTGATTTGCGAAAGTTTGGGTGGTATTCAAAGCGACGAAAACCTAATGGATATTCTCGGTCGGCTGGACGAGTGAGACGGAGAGCGTATTTGTTAGTTTGACAAGAAGATGCTCATTCGGTTGGTATGGTTGGTATCAGAGCACATCAACCTGAGAAAGCCGCAGTACACTACCGCATGTAAAGTAGCAAATAACATTTTGGTATTTGTACATCTCACTCGTTGTAGACAGCGCTGACAGATAATCGAGCAGGTTACAGCTTATGATACAGGTAAACTAATCGTTACCCCCATAGTGCAATTGCATGTATCCTATTAAGACGCATTCGACGTCGTATACATCTTCTTTACCAGTTCAACCAAAACTGCTCAATAGTAGTGTCACTAGCACCTTAACGAAATCTTTTGCTTATCACGATGGTCATCAGTCTCGTCAATGGCACCATATCATAGTTCCAATCACCTTCTTTAGCCTACATGTAGCGTTGTTGCTTCCTCCTAAAACTAAAGTAACTTCTACCAGCAACTCTTGACGTGATGTGAGTGAGATATGTAGACAAGAAGTAGTTACGATACTACACTTTACAATGGGTTCGTAGCTGCAAGTATACATTATATAGATAGTTTCTAATTCAGGAGAATGCGAAGAGGTGTTGTTCGTCTACGGGACAGTGTGGTTATGTTTGATACTCGTCCCATAATAATCTCGGCCAAAGAGTGAAACGAGCTGCTATACCTATTGTCCGAACAGTACGTGAAAATACATGACTATGACAGTCTTTGACGGGTATTATAAAGACTATGACCATGCCCGACAAGAGGCATTCCAAGCCATTGATGAGTACAAGCACACTTCGAATTCCAGTACGTGAATGATTCCATTTGATATTGCAGAGAATGGATTACGTCTTACCTCTACTTTGTATTACGCAGCTGAGCGTGAACACTTGGCGGTGACTGCAAAAAGTAACATTGATGAAGTGGAGCGATATGTATGAACGAAGATGAACATTTATGGCAGTGATATGGTTCTTACGGATTTTCATACTGAACATGTTGATAGATACGCATTTTGGATAATGAAGCTAAGGTTGAGTCGTCTCCGACAAAGAAGAGGAAAATGATGGAGAAGGTGCACCATTGTAGAACCAAATGGACTAGATTGAAAAGTTCGTTGGAGAAGGAATTGTTAGCGAACGATGTCCGAGCAGGGAAATCGTCCATGGCATCCGTTGAGGATGCGACCACGGTTCGTTTTGTGTGACGATCATTTGTTGTGGAAGTCACAGGAGAGTCGCTAACCTGTTACATATCTGATCATATACGTTCGCCCATACAGGTAGAACAACTTGAAAGTTGCACTGAACGTGTCGAAAGGTGAGTACTTGTAGTATTCGGGAAGACTACGTTGCTACAGTATACCTAATATCTACATGTTATCAGAACTGGACGTCATTTAGAAGATGCACAGCGTATTCTCGCCCACACGGAAGCAATCGGTAAGAAGGTTATGTTTGTACGGACATTTTTTCCCGTACGATGAACTCAATCCAACCAACATGACGTATTCGCAGCGGAGAATGTTGCTAACAACTTACTTCAGCAACGGAATCAACTGGAGCACACGGAGCTGAATGTACGAAGTTGAAAAGCACACATAAGCAAACTGCAGGATGATGACTAGTTTGTTATTTATCCTCTATGCAATGCTATTGTAGATTGCACAAACGCAAGATGACACTATGGAAGCAAAACGCAACATCCGTTCGATGGCATTCAAAGCGTGCACAAGTCGAATTCTTTTTGTTTTTGGTGATGTTAGCGCTCGTCACTGCCATCGTTCTAGTGTCGTATTTCAAGTGGTACCCACGTGACCAAAAGGACTACCTGGGCATTTTGCCTAACTCTAGCAACTCCAGCTCCTCTACTAATGGTGAAGATTTCCAATGATATTGAAACATGATGAAAAGCGTGCAAAAGCAGATAAGAGTACTGGGCCAAGAAGAATAAAAGCGACGCGCGTATTCTATCTTGTAGATCTTAGGAGCTGCTCGTAGATTACAACGGTTAAAGCTACTTTATATAATGAAAAAATGTCATTGTAGCTGCTGAACGACGAAGCAAGGCTACACACAAACCCGCAGTTGCGCGGCTCGATTCAGATACTGAAGTTTTCAAGTAGCTTAGACCAGACATCCGTAGTCGGGTGAGATTTGCAGGAAGACGTCGTCAAAGAACCGTTCACTGCTATAGTCCACTTGGTTTACATCAGCACCAAACGAACGCAATTTAAGAATGTCTTGCCGCTCCGGAAGCCCGCATTACCAACACCACAAAGAGAATCCTCGATAAAAGTCTGAGCATGCATCAACGACTGGTAGTAGCTAATCGTGCCCAATGGTGGTGAACAGTTGATGTCCAGTTGTCCTGTGTACAAGTCGAGCAAAAAGTTGCTGTCCTTATTTATCCCGATTAACTTCTGAAATTTATCGACAAACTCGTCCAACACGCCCTTCTGGTCATTAGGGTTCACATCTTTTACAGACATGTAAAGCTTGCCACGGAACAGGCTCGGATCTCCCTTGATCAAGGCCACACCTTTTTGAAAACGAGCAAATAAGTCATCAATATCCTTATCAAACCGCATCTCTATCCGAAAAATGGTAAACATCGAGATGGATGCGTTGAGAACCGACAAAAATACGTCCTCCTGCTCCGTTCGCTCAAACGATCCTAGACCTTCAAAGTCAAGGACAACAAGAAGCACTTTTTTTGGCAAAATACGGATCGACATCCACGCTCCGTCGGTGCAGCGTGATCCAGCGATTGCAAATGATGTCCCTGTCAAGTGGTTAAGCAAATAACTCTTTCCGGTTGACTGCTTTCCCATCGACGTAATAACGACGCAACGCCCTTGCCACGACTCGAGCAATGGTGATAAGAGCCCAAACCGGATTGAACGAGCAATATCAACGGCCTGGAGACTCTGAGACTGGGGTCCCATCGAGGATGCTTTACCATTCGTCATGACTGTGAGCGAATTTCCTTCAGCGCGGCAAATTTGAATCGGAACGAAAGTGATCAACTCCTGCAGAAAAGACCGGACAGGCCGAGGTGCAACATCATCCATGCTACCATTTAAGTCTGTTGTAAGAGCCAAATGTTTCGCCAAATCCATTCCACCGAGAGGTTTATTCAGCTTGCGCAGATCGCGCATCACGACCTGGAAGAAGTATCGGCAACTGTCCTCAGCAGATTTTGTCAGCGCAGAAGTACACACCAACTGCAGTTTAAGCGTAGCGCGAGTGTCATCAACGCCTCGAATCAAGCCACGTACAGGAAATTTTTCGTACGTATGATAGAAGGCTCGTAGCCAATGATCCACCTTTTCTGAGTCATCAACCTCTGTCTTGCTGCCGTTTATTGAATGCTCCTTTGAGTGCTCAATGCGGAAAGATTCGCTCCGCACTGTCACTTCAAGTTGTACGACGCAAATTTTCTGTTGCTTTTCATCTACTGCGAACATCAAATTCTCAAAACACTGAACCGATAGACCGCTTGAATGGAGCGGCAAGGCGATAGAGAAATTTGCAGGAACTTGGCGAAAATCTTCGCTAGCCACCGCGCACAACTCGGTACGTTGAGTGGGCTCGTCTTTCACAGGTCTCATTGCCATAAAGCCCAACACCATGTTGTCGGCCATTGCAAAGAGAGTACTGTTTAGTATACAAGACCCTGGAATTATTTGCGCTGCTCGTGACGTTTGCTGATTCTTCAAGTTAATCGACTGGATCGACCCATTCTTATCGGTAGCGTACAAGAAACCATCCAAGAGCAGAACATCCACGACCGGGAGTGCCAATGACGTTCGCAGCGACAGCTCGACACGCTTGTATATTTCAAGCGATGAATAGTTGTCGTTGAATCGGTACAGCAAAGCTCGCCCACCCTCCTCGACGAATGATATGACGCGTGAATGAGCGTTGAAGTCGCACAACGGTGCGACTCGGCCAAAATGACGCGTGAATGTCACGTTTCCCTCCTTTTGAAACCACAAATAGCTACCAATTGGGAAGTCTATGCGTTCTACCAGCGTTCCTTGCGGAGAAGTCGTTACCAACACCACGCAGTGGTTCTTAATCGTGAAAGTTCTTAGCAATTTTGCACCTGGCTTCAGACGATGAGTGCCTAGCTCGCTGGTGTTGAAAGACTCGGTGTGATTCTTTGCCAATTTAAAAACCTTCACTTGGTCTGTTGCAGGCTTCCACTGCTCCTTTTGAACGTCGCAGTAAATCATCGTCGAGCGTACTCGTGGACGGATAGTTGTCGTCAGCCCATTGCTGTGCTGCTCCCGCCAAGCATGAAAAAGGTTGCTAATAGCTTCAGAAACAACTTTTTGCTCGTCTTCTCGGCATGATTGACGAATCGACTTCTGCTTTTCCTCGTTCCAGTTGATCACTAACACGCTTTCTGCGACAACACAAGCCGTCTCGACAGCCTCGAACCAAGCTTGTCGAGCTTCATTCAACGGCTTAACCATGCAGTCGCGGAATCGTTCCGATAGAAGCTCCGATTTTTCATTCCTCACAATGCGTAATTTCTTCAATGTTCGTACCAGATACCCTTCACCACTGGCCACAAGTTTCGTATCGACGTAAGTGAGCTCCCGCATATAATCTGCTAAAGATTCGCGTATATTGCCTTCAGGGTCGCGAACTAAGTGATCGCGAAACACCAAAGCGATGCCATTCATCTGATTCTTGAGACGGAGTGGCAGATCCAAGGTTGCTTTTGTCGCAGAGTCAATTTTGCTCCAGATGTCTCGGTTTGTCTGGACAGTCTCCAAGTACTTGCGGAGAATCACATATACAGGCTCGTCTTTTGCCCCGGTGAACAGCACATCCAAATCAAACATTTTGTCTATACAACCAAGTAACATCGCTCGCTGTTCCTCAATATACCCTTGCACTTGCTCCTTAGTTGTATCTGCCAACGTTTCCAGGCTTCGGGCCTGCATATCCTGAATCTCCTTCAGCTTTTTCTCAGGCCATCGTCCAGATGTCTGCAATAGTTCGTTGCAGAATTGGCCAGACTTCGTCCGGTCAAACTCGACTTGCAAATTACGTTGTCTTGACTCGTTTCGTAGCCAATTCGCAAGGTCATTGACGTTGTCGAAGATTTCCGTGCACGATTCGGTGCATTTTTTAGCTGGAGCTGGCTCCATTACCATAAAAGCAGGATAGCTTCCCTTTAGCAGTTGAACATTTTGGGTCGAAGAAGTCACGGGCAACCTAATGTCTGGAAGATCTTTACACCCGACAGCATCCTTCTGCTCTTCTTGCCGCTTCACATGAAACGCAACTGAAAACGATTTCCAAGCGTCCAAATGGTTTGAATTCATAGAGACTACCGTTCGCTCAACTAGCTCAACATCTTCCGGCGATAGGCAGCACACCATATCTGGGCTTAAGCACGTCAGAAAACGGAGCACATACGTCACAGTATCACGCAATCGATCCTTCTGGAACAAGAAATCTTGAATCCACGCAAACAGGACGAGAAAGCGCCCTGGAGCCTCGTCGTTCTGACGATTGACACAGTAGATCCCCTGGTCATCCTTCTTCAAGTTGTTGCTCACCTCGACCGACCAACAGCTCAAAGTATTCAGCTCGTGCTTTACTGCATCTTGTTTGCCAAACAGGGATATAACCTTGATGTCGTTCGACGCTTGGTCCTTATTTGTCCCAAAAATTTCCTTGCGAAGAAAGAGAACAAAGTCATCATCGAACTCACGAGATTCTAGCATCTCCATCTCAAAATCTCTGGTATTTACTGACGACATCATTCCAAGCGAACAGCTCAGCCGCATCACCTCTAGCTCGCACAAGACAGGCTTCATCACTTCGACGTCATTCTGGACCTCCGACACTAAACTCAATAGCCGAAAACAGTCCGAGCTGATAAGCTTCTGGTTTGCACCAATGTTGAAACGCATGGATCAAACTTTCGCTTGTTCTTTGGCTTGCTAGCTTCCAAGCAGTTTTAGCTTTGAGCAAAAGAACTGGTAGCATTGCAACGGCATGCTGTGAAGTTGAGACCCGGCACCTCATCTAGTGGACCAACGGTATGGAAACTTACAAGGTATTGACAGCTCAAGACCAGGCCGAAAATTCTTTGAAAAAACCAACTAGTTAATGAAAAAGACAAGGTGACGGGGACTACATCAACTTATCGCGCCGTTCAACAGCCCATTGTCGTGTAAGATGCTGACGTCTACGCACTCCACCTTGGTTCTTGACGTCACTCCAACCGCTTTTCTCATCACATACAGTTGGGCTGTTGCCAACGCGTGTCGGAGTCGTGCAAAACGGCTTTGAAGATCATGCTCAACGGTGTTGTTGAACGATTTTTTCGAGCGAAGCTTGTTCGCACGACACCCACTTGCCGGCAAGAAATTTTCCGAGGATATCCAGCACTTCATCGACTACCATGTGCCAGTCTCTTATCAGCTTAATGAACGGCTGCGACAATGGCTCACAAAATGCCTTAGGCAGTTCTCTTGCGATTGAAATTTCCAGCGGAGCAAGAAGACCCACAGAGGTGACGATGGAGAGCCCCATGGGTGTAGCCCTCTTTTGTTTACAGAATACTGTATTTTGCTTAGCAAAGACTGCTAGCAGCTGCAATGCCTCATTTGCAGCGATCTCGTGACCACAGAGCGCCAACGTACTCACACCTTGATACAGCGGTTCTAGCTTTAAAGGTAGCCTCAACAGATCCCAAAAGCGCTCATTTTTCTTCATCAACTCCTCGTAAACACCGTCAGCATTTCTAAGCTCCTCCAATAGCAACAGCAAGACCTCTCGGACTTCCTGTCTTGATAAACACGCAGGATGTACCATCGGTTGCAGTACATTAAGCCAGAACAGAGCGTTTGCACCAGCCAGCAGCTTTCCAGAAGCTTCTCGATGTACAGCATAACCTGACTCTGGCATGGATCCTTAACCTCCTGCAACAGCTTTTGGTATTTCTCTACTGCGCGTGAAATCTTTGCTTCGGGCCAGCGATGAAATTGTCGAAGCACAGCATCACGCACTGTTTTGTTGCGCTCGCCGCAACACAGATTCAACTGCATCGGTTGATTCTTCGCAGTGTCGAATACCCACTCGGCAAGTCGATGAGCGCTTTGAAATCGTGAGAAGTAGTTGTGCTTAGTCGTTAGCGTTTGCTTCATCGGCACAACAGCTTGAGAAGTCCATTTCTCCTTTGAAATTTGCAACACGGAAGTTTTTGTTTCCACACTTGTTTGCTACCAACAGAACGGTTGGTCTCCATGACCAAATTTTCCTGACCCTTCATCTGCTTTTCTTCTTCTTCAACGGGTCTATTTTGTTTCTTGGCACTCTGTGAATTCTCCATTTTCGAAGATTTACTTGACCGCTTGCGCCTTGCCATGACTCAGATAGAAAACTTCGTCCTCGCTCCTAGTCACGAATTGATTAATGAATGACCAACTGACGGATCCCCGTCCGAGAAGAAGTCAGGCATTGAGGGCTAATTTGGTCAGTCATCTACTTTAAAGAGTTAATGACTGATTAATACTTACCGAACAAACAATAATGACGGTAGTATATGTGGCAAAGGAGGCTTTGAGCTATGATGTTTGTACAGCTAAGCTAGGGCGAGCATTGGTATTGTTGCAGATACCAGTGCTAAAAACTTGAGTGGTGGCATCAAAGTAGCAGCCCAAAAGTGTGCGCAAGGTGGAATAACTAAGCTTTGAGGCTACTGCGCGCTCCACAGCTCAATTGATCCTTGGACAAATATATGTAACAGCTCACAGAGCAAGCCGTGATCGGTTGCACTTGGTAATGTAGCGCATCAAACGCAAGGTTGTAACTGTTTAACCAAATAGTACATGGACTTCAGGCACGTTTGTTTCTTGATCAAAATTTGACCATGCAGAGGCAAGGAATTGATTTTGAAAGGAGACCACATCTGCACAGGATCTCTTAAGTGCAACTAGCTTTGGTGAGTCAGGTGACAGCATCTTTTTAAAGGCGAAAATAATGGGCAAGTACGAATATGGTCAAGTAGCCGAAGAGAGAAAGAATTCCAATGAAGCCAAGTTTGTTAAAGCGTCATGGAGTACCGCTACCCGGGAGGTGCATCTTGACTTCAAGACAATTTCCACTGAAAATGCGCGATCATTAGTTTAGTTAGTGCTGGTCGTGAATATGATGAATGACGCAAGATAATCTTACAACAGGCCGGCAGTTCTTACGCTTACGGGATATATAGACACCGCCTATCAATCAAGACAAGAGCAATTAACCATTTCAAATAACTTCGACATATTCAGTGCACTGTTATTAAAGTTTGGTAAGTCCTGAACCGGCGACTGCTGTCGCCGGTTCTGATCTTTCCGATCAAAAGCTTCACCGACGTCCGGGCAGTCTTACCGTAGGGGTACCTCGTACTCCCATGAGTCATACGACTGAGGATACCCCGTCCACTTTACCAGATCCTGGGTGTGGCCCTGATGACGAAGTCGCGCCAAGAGACGCTCGGCGTGAAACTGTTGATGGCCCAGCTCATCATTCAACGCTGGCGACGGGACCCATCGATCCATGATCTCTCGGTACGCCTTCAGCGTCCATATGCACCCCCGTTGCGCCTCCTTCGGCCGGGGATTCGAAGACAAGCTCTCGAAGTCCACCGAGGCAGGGTTAAGATATAGCTTAAGTAAGCTTACGTAGAACACAGGATGTGCTCGCATCTTCTTTGGAAGGTTCAGCGTATAGGCTAAACCTTTCTTGCTTATGACCTTGAAAGGTCCAATAAAGCGTGGTCGTAATTTAGTTTTATATACCGCCGAAACGGCACGGGTAGGTAAATTCCTAGCGTTTAATAAAATAAATCTCCCACTTTGAGCTCATGTTCATTCTTTCTGCCTTTGGCATCCGCGTGTTCCTTTTGAACATCCTGGCTTTCAGCCATAGCGTCTTTGACGCGACGTAATTCGTCAAAACGCGTTGACAGAAACGCTTCCACCTTCTTGCGCATCGCAACAGGGCTGATATCAGCCAAGCCTTTGGCTATCTTTCCCCCACTAAGCCTTGATGTGGCAGGGGGTAGCGTTAAAGGAGTGCGAGGGTTGACCAAACCATTCACATAGAATGGAGTGAAGCCTGTCGAGGCATGCACCGTGTTGTTCAACGCAAACTCTATGAGAGGGAGCAGTGTGCGCCATTGCTTTGATGTTTCAGCACAAACACTGCAAAGCATATCGCCAATAACGCGGTTGACGCGTTCAGTCTGACCATCGGTCTGCGGATGATCCGCCGTGTACATGTCCAGTCGAGTGCCAAGCAATTTAAAGACTGACGTCCAAAATTGCCCGTAAAACGGGGTCTCTATCCGAGACGATTGCCACAGCCAGTCCGTGTTGTCGAAACACACGATCCATGAACAGCTTAGCTGTTCATTCTCCATCAATGGAGTCCGGCACTGCCGCTAAGTAAGCCATCTTGCTCAATCGGTCTACAAAGACCACAATCCCAGTGTTGCCTGCCGCATCACGCGGTAGGCCAAACACAAAGTCCATACTAATGGACTGTCACAACCCCGAGGGTACAGGCAAACTCGCCAAAGGAGCAGCCATATTAGGCGAGGGTTTAACCCTTTGACACGTTTCACACGTGCGTACATATGTACCAACCCATTTATACAACTTGGGCCACCAGCAATGGGTGCTCACCGAGCTGTAGGTCTTTTCACGACCTAAATGACCACCAAGTGGTGTATCATGAGCCTCATAAAGTATCTGATACTTGAGGTCCGCATCATGAGGCATCACAACATGAGACTGGTCATCCGACTCCGTACTATAGTACAACAGACCATCGTTCAGTGCATAACGATGTAATCTCGCACGATTACGTGGTGACATCTTCACCTTAGAGTTTGCAAACTCTGCGCTACCTAGCGCCTGCAGAATGGCAACACATGCCTCATCGCGTGCGTACGCCACACGGATCCGTGACTGACGAACTCACAACAGTGAGATGAGCAAGCTCATAGTCAGGTCTACGCAATAACGCGTCAACCAAAGCATTCTGTTTTCCCGGCTTATACTTCACTTCAACGATATAATCCGCGAAAAAAAGAGCCAACGAGCCATTCTCTGTGAGAGATGAGGCGACTGTGTCGCTGTGCATAATGAAGCATGATCGGTATAGATCACAAACGGCTTTGAGCCCGACAGGTGTACCCTGAAATTAACAAGGGCATACTTCATCGCAAGTAGCTACTTGTCATGAACTGGATAGTTCTTCTCTGCAGCTTTCAGCTGGCGAGACTCGAACGCGATGACGCGTTCTTGACCCTCAGAGTCAACTTGCAAAGTGCACTGCCAATGGCAAAGTCCGAAGCGTCACATACGACGCTAAGCAGGCGATCAGGACCAGGTAGAGCCAGAATTGGCGCCTGAAAAGAACTTTCCTTAATGGCTTCAAAAGCCTCGTGGTGATCGGTGTTCCAACACCATTCCACATCCTTTTTAAGGAGATTTAACAATGGCCTAGCCACTTCTGCATAGTTGTGGCTATACTTGTACAAGTAATTTGCCAAACCCAACCACTTACGGAGGTCCTTCTGGTTCCTCGGAACCGGCCAATCCACTACGGCTTTGACCTTAACAGGTTCTGCCCGGATTTCACGCTTCCTAATGAAGCATCCCAAACAGGGAACCTCTTTCGCACCGAAGATGCATTGTCAATATTGGCATACAACTTATGCATCCTCATACAACCGAGCACAGCTAGCAGGTGCTCGATGTGATTCTCCACATCAGTCTTGCCATTTTCGGCTCGACTATGGACGAATATATCGTCAAAGTATGCCTGTGCATACGCCCTATGGGGCCAAAACAACTGAGTCACCAGACGATTGAACGTTGCAGGTGCGTTAGACAGCCCTTGGAACATCACAAACCACTCCCAGAGCATACCGCTCGGAGTACTGACCACGGTCAGCGGGATATCACTAGCTCGCATGAGCAGTTGGTAATATCCATCGACTAAGTCGAGGGCACTGTAAATCGTACATCCCACCATATTGTTCTGAAGAATATCCTTGCGAGGAATCGGTTTTTGAGCCGGGATAGTGGCTGCATTCAGATTATTGTAAGCATGCACTACTCGCCACTTCCCATTAGGCTTTCTCACACAAAACGTGGGTATAGAGAAGAAGACTTACTCTCATGTACCATGCCAGCCGCGTGCTTTGCACGAAAGAACTCGTCAATGACGTCACATTGTTCTCGTGGCAGTGGCCACTGTCGCGTCACACAGTATTTGGTTCCTGGAACCAAGTCAATTTCATGACGTACACCTCTATCCGAAGGTAACCTCGTCGGATGTTCTCTGGAGACAATATCTCCATATTCCTTCAACAAAGGAAAATAAGGATCCGAAGGTTCCTTCAGGATCTGTGATCCACTACGCGCATTCAGCGACTTCTTGGTATCGTCAAGAACTGCTTTATTCAAAAGCGATGAGGAGCTCAACTTCTCCTCAGGTCGTATAATGACCACTTCGGTGATGTCGCCTGCCTGTAAGGCAATGCCACACTCGGCAAAGGACAACTCGTCCAGCTCTTACAGAGCACTTACTGCGAGTATTGCTGAAAGAGCCACCGGCTTTTCAACATCCCAGTCAAACCATTGACGAGTGTATATAGCTGTTCGCTATCACCTTCACTCACGATGTTGTCATCAATACTCATGATGCTCTCAGCATCTGACGCATCAGCTTCCACAGGTGTACACACCTCAAGGTCAAAGACCACTTCGTTTACTGACTGCACTCCACCCTCTTGGGTCAATGCCTCGTCATGAGGTGTTCGCACCTCGTTTTCCTCAAAGACAACCGTCATTTTTGACTTCACCCGACCGTCTTGGACCAGTACCTCGTCGTTAGGTGCATGCGTCTCG